GTTCAGCGTAGAATTAGGTAGTGCAGAGATGTGATGAAAATTCTTCCAACACTAACAGAAGATAACATAATTATTCTTCTGATTTTTGTCCCAACAGGAGAGAAATGGAACCACAAGTCATGTTTATTTGTACAACAGACCACATATTTCCTTGTTTAGGAACTTTAATGAAATCATAATCTGACACTAAGACTATATTAAAAATCTGTTTCAGTTTAGAATCATAAACAAGCTGGTTCTAAATCTCAAAATATTGTTTAAGAAGAATTAGTGTGTCTGATTGTAGTGAGTACTTGTACTGAATTACTGCATAATAAAATAAGAGAAGTGGGGAAAAAAGCTTTTTTCCCCGCCAAGAAGATGGAGTCAATCAGCTTGTGGTTGTGCACTGCTGCACTGTTTTGCCTTTGCTCTGACTGCTGAATGAGCTACACTGGCAGGTCAGACCTCGCAACTATCTATTCACTTTAACCGCAGTTCTCTGTGAGCAAACTATTAGTTTTCAGATTACCTTGTTCTGAGGATAAATGCTGATGTGCTCTGAGTATCTGCAAACTAAAGTTTTCATCATACTGTAACCAGAAGGAATCAAAACACTTAGGGTGTTGGTCTGTTTGGGGCATCTCTTGATCACCCTGATGCATCCATTAACCTTCTACCTGTAACATAGACCATCTGACATATTTAAGCTACTTTTGGGTTTTGATCTCAGTGTTCTCATCTAGAGAAAAGGAGTGTGTCCCCCCTCCCAGATGTTTTCCTTTATGCTTATTGCCACACGGGTTTATCCACAAGCCTTTTGGCAGCAACAACAAGAGCCAGTCTGATATTAATACATTACCTGGAACCTCCTGAATTTACTGCATCTCTAAGAAGCAAGTTTGAAATCCTGTTTCATCTTCCAATAAGGCTGGTGTTCAATTTTGGAGATGTTACAAGAAATACAGTGTCAGCAGTTGAAATTAAATATAAAGCCTTGGCTAGGTCTAATGAGAAGTAATGTACTTATTTGTAGGTCCTTGCAAGTTACTGTTTTTTACCATAAATGGAAACATAATTTTGAATCTTTGTTGACCCATATTGATGGATTTATATTTGTTTACAAAATTAATTGGAGCTGATGTGGTTTACCAGAAAAATCTGGTTGAGGAAACATTTTCAGATGTGCATTTACATTCAACTACTAAGCGCAACCAAAAAGTGTGTGTCGGCTGTGCATAATTGGAGTAAATATTTTTTCAGGTTTCATTCATTTGGAATCTAGGTTACAATGCTGGGTAAAGTAATTTAAGAGCTGTTTGAGTATTTTGGACTGGAAAATCTTCTTTTTATTTGTACAGGAGGTATTTCTCAGTTATACGCAGTGACTGGACAAAAGTAACAAAGCTGCAACACTGAGCTGAATTAAAGTGACCGGGTCATTCAGGTCCTGTTGGGGGGGGGAGGGTATGACTTTTTAAAAATATGGTTCATAAAAGAGTTCTGATTTGCATTTACAGTGAACTTCTAAAATGGTGCCAATGATTCACAATTAGAGTAAATATTTTTTCAGGTTTCGTTCTTTTGGAATTGAGGTTAGAACATTCAATGAAAATATTCAATGGCACTTCTTACTAAACCGGGTACATCTGTGTGGGAGGTAGCAAGAAACGCACTAGAAACATGTGTTTGGTGTTCCAGGCAATTTTTATATTTCATATGAAAAAAATGCCGAGCCCCTCGGCTGTAACACTTGAGAAAAAACATTTGACAGTTCAGGTTTTGGCCTGTTAATTTTTTCAGCTGTAAATAGGTACAGTAATTACTTTCATCCATCAGCGGACTATTTGCCCACTCTGCTAAACCGAGGTCTCATGAGCCCGGTGCTGGGGTGCACTAGCATGGCGGTGATTACACCTGGCCATGGATGTGCACGAGGAGAGGCAAGTCTGACTTTTTGCCACATGCTGGCGAGCAGGAGTGGTGAGTGGGCCACACGGGGACACGGGAGGATACATGTGCCGCCTCGAACAGCTCTCGCCGCTCCAACATCTGTTTCGCGCCTTCGCAAGGGAAGGGCAGCGGGCTGGAGGGCAGGGATGTCCTGGGTCTGCATTCAGCCAGACTTTGATGTCTCAGTGAGTTAAAAATTGTAAGGGATTTTCAAAACGGAGTGAATTATTTTAGTGTTGAATTGGGTTGACCCATGGCTTCTTAAAAAATAGGAAAAAATTGATTTGGTAAAGCAAAAGGGAACAGTAAGAGAAACCTTACTAATTCATTCCCCCTGTCTGCACATCTGTTTTTTGTGTGATGATATCCCCTGCTTTTTGTTGTATTGCCTTTCCTTCTTCTGTATTTTTACCATATCAGAATGAAAGCTAGTCAGCATAAAGCATACATAAAAATGTTGAGGAGTTTGGAAACACAGGGCTTGGTGCACCAAAGTTTATTCCAACATACTGGAATTCTCAGTCCAACGACGGTAATTTACAGAAGGAATGGTGACAATTCTCTGTAGAAAATAATTTTTACATTTTTTCCACCAATATAAAAAAAGAGAGAAGTTTGATTTTAACAGTTGTAAAATAATGTGTAGTGTTGCTATGAAGTCTAGCTAGCTGTTCCAAAGCTTTCATTCAACAAACACCACACTGGACAATGTTCACAATAAACCTTGTTTAAGTGAAATATCACAACTTTGGAATTTGTTATTTCAACATCACATCGATAGGACTGTGATACATTTTTAATAGCTAACCTTACACACATTTATTGGTGTACTTTAAATTGGGATCAACAGGTAATCAAAGCTTAAGAACTCCTGCTACACAGTAGAAAAACTATTTTAGAAGCTTTCCAATCATACTGATCTTTTAGATCATTCTTACTTAAGTCAGCATTTTCAAACTCACCTAATTTAGTCACCTGCAGTGAAATTCTGTCTCCTTTGATTTCAATTTCAGTTTTTCCATTTCATTGTACAGGATTAAGATTTCACCTATAGTCTGTATTTAGGCACCTAAGTTTGTGGTCTGTTTTTTTAGACATGTCAAACACACATAATTGCCACTAAAGTCAATAGATGCAATATATGCTGAGCCTTCCTGGCACCTGGATTGAATTTTGGATCTAATTCTGCAGATGTTCCGTGGAGATAAAGTTCTACATCTGCCCAGAATTAGCAGAAAGGGCTACATTTCAAATGCTGACCTTTGCATATTTTAACCAACTGCTCAAAACTCAACCAATGATCATGTCGGGCTGTGGTTTGTTCCCCCTGAACTACCCTATACGCTGTTATTCAAGTTCCCTGTAACATCTCTCTCCCTTTGTTTTAAGCATTCTAACTTGGCATCCATGTCTTCAGCTTGTGTTAGCATATTACCAAGCACATTACTGCTGTTACCAGAATCGCTCCAGCATATTCTGCTTTAACTTTCATGCATGGAAATTTCACTGGAATTCTTGTAATAACATAGGTCAATATACTGATATGACCAGTTGTAACTCTTTATGTCAGCCTACACAGAACTCTTTTTTTTTTTTTTTCTGATGCAGACTCCCTTTATTATAGAAATGCTCATTTTGTTTTATAGGTACCAGAATTGCCAAGTCTAGTCATTAGTTTTGCTGCAGGAATTCTTGAAGGTCTTTAAGACGTCTATCATGAGCTCTTACGATGTTAATGCAGGTGACCTTATGTGTTAACAGAAATCAGGCTGTGCTAGCCTGCTAGCCTTATCCAAGTAGAGCCTGGGAAGGAATAGTATAAATGCCATCTTGGAGTTGTGCCATTCTGATTTGTATCAGCTTTGCTATTTTAATACCTCACACGGCAAACGTTGTCAGTGAAACTTTGTACATAAATAAAAGCACCTGCTTTGTCTGTGACCCTTTGCAGGGTAAATGTTACCTTCTGATCAGCAAAACTGCAGGTAGCCAGCTGTTTTGAGAAGTTCAGGAATAGGGACAAGCCTTATTTGTTTATTTACTTATATATTTATTTATTTGGTATCAGAAAAAAGTTTAGAAATACGTCAGATGATAAAAAATTATCAAAATGAACACTGAGCCACATGAAGCCCTATCTTCTCTTTAATACTGTACAGTAGCTGTCAGTTATGTTTAGAATACTGCTTCTATTCCAGTTTTCATAACAAAGCTATATTACAGCCAACATAAGTCTTACTTTTAAGAATTCTACAGATCTGCTTCATTTTAATCTGCCCTTTTAAAAAATACTGATTTTTCAATTAAATGCTTAAATATATTTGAAATTATAACAACAGAAGCCAGCCTGAAGTACAATAAAAAAATTAAATGTCTGCTTTCAATGCATTTTTGCTATACAAACCCACAAGATGAAATACTATCATTAGCATATTTTTGGCACACACGTAAAAAAAAAATCACATAATGCATACCCAGATGCTTATTGGTAAACTATGCTTCTGAATGCTCTGAACAAGGGCTGTGATTCCAAATAGCAGATAGATTCAGCTCCAGCAGCTGCAGCGGTTGCTGGCCCAGGTGTCTGCCAGAGGTTACCATCCCTCTGGGGCTCCTCAGCTGCCACGGTTCTCAGCTCACCAGACTAACTCACCGACTAACTCACCGACTACTAAACCGGTGAGCTTTCTGAGGAGAGACGAGCGTGCAGCTGCCCCATGCAGCTCTCCAGCCTCTGGCAGGGAAGTGGGGCAGGCAACCAGCGTACGGAGTTAAAACCTCTGGCAGCCAAGGCTAGACCGATTTAGAGTTACGAATCAGAGCCCTAAGGTAAAGTTCAGTCAGCTTGGATATGCCTACCACACATTAGTGCAAACCTATGCTCTGTGGCTTGCAGTGGCTTGAAAGGAAAAGCAAACCTTTTAAAAGTAAAGTGCAGCAAAAATGTCTATGTAGAAATTGCCATGAGTTTTTAAGTCGATGAGTTCTGGATTAATAAAACATGCCGACCAAGCCAGATTGTGACCCTCATGGTGTAGGAAAAGTCCTGCATTTTGGAAATTTCACACTCATACTTTTTTAGGGTTGATTTCTTTCTGGCCATTTTTTATTTTAATGGCCTTTTTGGGGCCACTGACCAGTGGATTGGTGTTCTTGGTTGATGGTTTTGGGGCTCCACTCCGACCACTGCGTCCTGCATTCTGGTTCTTACTGCGGGCCGTTCGCAGCTTTTGTTCTTGCAGTCGCTGTTCCCACCTCTGTGGAAATGCAGAAGGCAAAGAGGCTAAGTTAGAGAAGGACATAATCATAAATAATTATGTCTCAAGCAAAGCTATCCTGAACCACTGGTAGTAGTGCTCTTTTTAACAGTTTTGTGCTCTCTCCTGCAGGGCCATTGCTGTCAGTATGTTACAGCTGTCTGCAGCGGGAACCTGCCACGTGTTCTCGGGTGGGGGAAGCTGCATGATACCAGTTGATGAAAATGACAACCACACATCTCGTGTGCAGGCTGCACGAGAGCGTACATCTCACGCCTCTTCAGAAATCCAGGGGAGCTGGCACCATGCCGCCAAAAAGACAGGATCTGCACACTGAGATTCCTTTGCAAACGTCGTCTTTGCTGTCCTACTGAACATGCTGCTTGACTTTTCCTCCGAAAGGTCTGCAGAAAGCAGACTATCCTTTCACAATATATATTTAAACACACAGCTACAAGGGAAGGTAGTATTTACTTTCTTGTTCTGCTTTTCCCTGGCGTGGAGAGGACTGGGTATGAAAGAGCTTGTGTTACGGACAGGTAAGGGAGAGGACCACTGAGAGCACAGTGTTCAGAGTTGCAATGGGATGGCTGTGAATTATGCACCTGCAGCTTTATTCAGCAGCACCCCTGAGAAATATTGCAAAGCAGTTAGATTAAAGAGCCCACCAAACAGAATAGGTGTCAGATTTCCAAACCCAAAAGTGCAATGGTTAGAAAACAGGTTTTTAAAGTGAGGTTAAGTGGTTAGGTGGTCCAAAATACGGAGACCCACAACACTGCGGCAGAGACTGCAATCTTTCACCTCTAGGAACAGAAATACTTATTTTAAGGATAACAAGGTAGATAGTAGAACCTGGAAAGCGTCTCACCTCTCCCCTGTATTAACGAACTTTCTCTTCTGAAAATCCCAAAGGCAGGGGCTTTGCCCAGTGATCAGGGCAAGAGAAGTGCTTTCCAGCTTTCCTATTTAGTTCCTCTGCACTGACCCTTTTGCAACTCAGACTCTTGTCCTGGCTAGAGGTGAGACCAGCCATGTTGTGGTTATGTTAACAGCTGTCTTCTGTGGTCCACAGACAGATCAAAACATTCATTTTATGTGGTAACTCAAGATAAAAGTTGGATGCAAGTCTTCAGAGATGAATGATGGGCATTAAAATGAAGCCACTGTGATACCTAGCCCCACACTGGCTATCTTTGTGTAGTCAGGGTCATTATATGTGTCTTTATAAAACAAAAACTATCATCAGCGGGCATTTAGGTGTGTCCCACTCAAACATGTTTAAATGAGGATTTAATTTATGAAACAATTAATATCAGAGGGAATGACACATGCTTTAAGAAGTATATTGGCAGTCATGCATCTATTTGACAGTCTGGAAATGAATGTCCAAACAGGTTTCAAGACATGATTAGAAATGACAAAACAGTGTGAGGAGGCCACTAAAACACACTGTGTGCCAGTAACAGGCCATTAAGTTGACAGCTAAGGGATTTCAAGAGTCCAAGTATGTCAGTATTCTCCTAAACCCCACATGGTATCATCTGCAATTGCAATACATTTATTTTTTTAAGATTTAAAGCATGTTTTCTTTTTCACTCATATGTTTTACATGAGTAAGTGAGGAGAAAAGGGAATGATAAAAGCATAAAATACAATTTTCTGAAAGAAGTTGGTCTGTAATCTAAAAACCTTCTACTGGTGGATACACGCATCCTTTTTCCTTGTATCAACTGCCAATCAGCTCAAATCAAAATTAATATAGATGTATGTCCTTAATGCCTGAAACCTTTTCTGAAGTCCAGAAGTAACTTTCTTCCTTCTCTAAAAGTGTGAGGAAGAGTCAGACACTGTCTTGATCCACCCTTTCTTTCCATTATAAAGAGGAGTTTACAAGCAGGGACCGATAGCAAGTGCTATCCTGAAGCCCAAAAAAGCAGGGGCATCTGCTGCTCCTGCCTCCCAGATCTCAATACTATAGATTTTTCCTTCCAATGTTCCCTGAAACCAGTGAGGGGATGCGAAATACTTTCACTGGGTCTTTAGCAGGCAGTAACTGGTGAGAAGTCTGTGTCTCCACCCTGCACTCTGTAATGCAGCAAAGCCCATTTATCCAATGCAGTGGGTTCTAACTTCCTTTCTTACCTAATGTGGACTATATACTCCTCTGCATATCACCTATCTGACAATTACTTGCCTTAGCAGTGATATGAAAGAAATTCCTAGAGTCATTATTGTAATAGGCCAGAGTTCACACAAAGATCATCCAAGCATCCTATCTAGGGACAGTTTGCAGACAAAATAGAAATAAAATTTTAGAGACCCTAAAATGCAAGAATAAAATTTTCACTTTACACTTATATGTAATTATGATGTATGAAAATGCTAAAGTGAAAATAATAACACCCAGAGGTGTTACGGATATCTGAAAGTCAAGCAAGTTACTCAACACTGAAGTAGAACAAAGGTGTTTAACTATTCATCAAGAAGATCAGCATTCTTTTCTTTGGTGGTATTTACCTTAAATCTTTTGTTTAGTTGATCTTTCCATTTTTCAACTAGACATCCATCAAGAAGCATCAACCTGAAAATTAAGAAATAAATACAAGTTATAGATATTTCTGATTTTGACTCCTGAGATGTCATTCCAGGTGATTTAACACAGACTGACGTTGAAATGAACCAGCAGGTACTGGTACTGACAGTTTCTGCGTGTGGGGCAGTAGGCAGAAGAACATTTTTCTCCATCCCTATATGCTTTCTAATTGATTTCTAAATGCTTATACGGATCCTTCTGAAATTCTATTCTAAACCCTGTAAAAACAGAAAATAGTTTTCAAAAGAAATCAGGTTTTACAGACAAAATTGCAGCATGTGGCCAGTATTAAGAAAACATTTAAAGCCCTTTGTTCTCACCTGCAGCTACTCTGCAGGGGGAAATTGTCCTGTCTTGATCACCATTAACAAAAAGTGATGGTTTAGGTAACATCCCATGAAACTCTTTAAATGTCTTTATCACTTTTTTTTTTTATGTCCGCTATATGTTTGTGTTTGTGTGTGTGTGTGTGTGTGCAGAAGAGCAGTTCAAATCAATGTATTTTACTTCTGAATTGAAAAAAGCTAGGTTTTACATGCACCAGTTAATAAAGCTTAGCTAATGAATTATAACATTATTTGACCCCTTACAATTGTTTCCATTGCTACCTATAAATAAATTAGGGTGTTGTTATGTATTTCCTACATGTAAGTACTTAATAAGTGCTTTAAAGTACATTCAGAATATGTATGGACAGTGATATTTGTCTACCAATGAAACCTGGCTGGCTCCTGTATGAAAATACTGAGTCCAGGTGTTAGGAAAGGAACAAAACAAAAGTGTACATATTTAAGGTATATGCCTTAAGCAGCTTCTAAAATAGTTTACCCTAAAGCATTCTGATGTTACACCTTGTAAGTCCCACCCTAGAAACAACTATTTTATAGCACAGGGAATTTCTGTATCTCCCCTATTGCTATTTAAGTATTTTAACTTTTTTCCTTCTTTTTTTTTTCCTTTTCTTTTTTTTGGGGAATGTTTTTTTGTTTGTTTGTTTTTTGGATGGGGTTTTTTTTTAGATACTGGGCCTTAATATGCCCTAATATAATTTCCCTAACTCTGGAAGGCTTTATTTAAACATCAGCATTGGCTGAAGACATCAAAATATCATTATAAATGCACATGATTTCCTACAGCACTTTGCTGGCTGGTGAGGTTTACACAGCGTAGCAGGGCCTGACTCTCCAGTTTCCGCGAACAGCATTGCTGCTCATACCAGTTCAAAAAGAGTAGTAAATGCTGCCACTTGTAGCTGTTAGGCACTGTGCATCTGCTTTGCCCAAACATGAAAGTACTACAGTGAGTGCAAACCTTGGAGGATCATGACCAACATTTCCTTCCAAGGAGAGATTAGAGAATTAACATCTAGGACTGACTCTAAGGCTACGCCGTGATGAATGAAGCCATAACACAGTGTACTGATCTGATACCGCTTCTGTCCAGGTCAAATTATTGAGTGAGACCCTAACCCTACTGACAGGCAACGGATGTTTTACCATTGGCTTCCGTGGAGGCACAGCTTCCACCCATTTTGCTTCTGGCATGTTAAAAAGCTACTGTAACTCAAAACCTTCTGTTTGCATGCCACTGAGTTCAACAGGAAACACATATAATAGTTTATGTTTCTTTTTCAAATCCGTTTTAGTACACTATATGAAATTAAAAACCTCAGTGACCTTTAAAAACCATCACAAAATATTTAGTAAATGGTGTGTTTTTCCATAGAAATGGAGAAGCAGATTGCGATCTTTCAGTTTTGAAATCTCCTTTCCCTGACAGCCTCCTGAGGGTCCTCTCCAACAAAGCTCTGCAGCTCAGAGCTCCGCGATCGCAATTTTGGTCGTGGTCCTTCTGCATGACTCAGAGTATGTATCCCAAAAATGGCTAACACGAGTAGAGGGCTCTAAACTAATCTCTGTGAAATACTTCCAGAACTGGAGGGGCAACAGGGCTGTGTAACAGCAAAATACTGTGCCTGTTAGCTCACCAAAAAAAGTTAAGGTAATAAGGTATCAGAAGGCAACTTTTAGAAACACCTACAGAACACACTTAACATATCAACATAAAACTCATTGAAAATACGGATATGGCACATCAAGTTCTGCATGTAGATGTTCTATGGTCCTTACAAGCGTGCACGTTCAATTAACAGTCACGCCGCTGTATGCAAAACCAGCCTGCACATTTTACCAACAGCCTTACCTCCGACCCACAGCTCAGAGCCACACGTACCTACCACGCCACAACCTGTCCTGTTGGTGTCTGTTGCTGCCGGTACGCTTGGGGTGCTGACGGGGATGGGATGTCCCCTTCTGCTTCAAGGACCCAAAGCGAGCTGTGATCCATCACTCCCTCCCCTCCAAACCAGCATGCTGGATTTCCTTCCACGGCTGGGGCTAGGCTGACTGCCAGATGCAAGGTCTGGTAAAGTCAGTTTTGTTTTGTCTTTTAATCATACAGCAGCACTGGCAAGCTGCTTCGAGAGTATTTACTTTTCATCTGCCATCCGGGAGCCGGAGCTCCAATGGCTGCAGCTTTGGCTGGTCCCGGTGCAGCTGTGGGATCAGAAACATCTCGCTGATGGCACCGGTCCGAAGTATGGACAGGCCGGCAGAGAGGGCCTGGCTCTGTCTCCAGCGGCTCTGCAGACGGGAGATGTGCATCATCTCCTGTCCCCTCCTCTGGGATCGGTGAGGCAGAACCCCACGGTCCTGCCGACACGGACCACCATCTACTGCCACCGTCGGGCTTGTTAGCATACGAAGCGGCTCATACCTATGGAAAGCCTTGGTCCCAGAAAAGCACCCCCAAACAGCTGTAGGTGCCTGAACTGCTGCACGATGTACTAAGCAATAAGCTGGCAGCACCTAATGCCACCAGGGTTTACGCTCCGTGTGTGAGCCAGCTTTTGTAAACGCTGCATCGTGGCGCAGAGCTGAGGCTGATTAAGTGGAAGAAGTTAATTGCTAAGGTAATTGAAAGGTGTAGGTGTATGTGTGAGTTATCCTAAGAAAAACTACCAGCAAAGCATGCTCGTGATGAGGAAGGGAGCTTGCCTTGCTGGTCCTCCCTCCCGTCTAGCTGTAACACTTTTCTCCACCACATCGTCAGGGCTCACCTGGAGCGCCATTCGTAGCACATGATGAGAACATCTTGCTTCGGTTGAAGAGGTGGACACTGGCAGGAGGAATTTGTAAGAAGAGGCACTTGAGACAGAGGAATTGGCGTTGAAGACTTAAGTATGTCCTTGACTTCAACCACAGTTGTTATCTCATTGCAGTTCCCTCTTTCTATGTTTTTTACTTTAGCATGAATGACTGCAATTAGAAAAAAGGAGGCGTGAGAACAACAAAGGGTCTTAGTAATTTAAAGACATCTCAAAATGAAATAAAATATATTAAATTGAAAGCTGTTGTTTTGGCTGTGAAACTAGAACTACTTCTTCATGTGTGGGCACGTACAGTGGCTTAGAATAACAGAGGCCTGATCCCAATTTGGTTTTCAGTAGGACTGTTGACAACTGTGAAATTAAACATGTGCTTAAATCTTTGCCAGATCAGGCCAAGCGATCTCGTCTGGAATCAGACACACAAACAGCTCCTTTGACTCAGACTTGAACAACCCCTCACAAAAATCGGACCCCGTTCTATAGCCACATCTGGCTATTTCCAATTAAGCAATGAATAATTTACCTCACAGACAGTTAGCGTGAATTCAGTCTTTTCAATAATAAAATCATTTCCCTGAAGGTTGCGTCCACAAATTAAAAGTCTTCTCTTAAATACAAGAAAGAAAGGAAGGTCTGAAACAAGTACTCAAAAACTAAGAGGCTTAGGATCGTCGTGATTACTCAGTCTATACTTGCTTTTGCCTTTTGTCTTTGGATTATCGATCAATAGTAAGATCCCCATATAAAATAGACTCTGAAATGTGTTCTTCTGACTCTGAATACACAAACATCCATGTTTTTACCTTTTACTGAGGAAAACTTCATGTTTACACGGATGCAAGAAGGTGAAACTGTGTAGATTGCTCTGAGGGTGATCCCTGGCTAACTTTGTCCCTGTGAATCACGGGCAGCACCTACCGCTGCAGCATTTAACCCCTTCTGTCTTGTGAGAAGTACCAAATCAGAGAAATTAAGCACAGTTTGTGCACGAAGGACTTTGTGTCTCTAGGAAACGTCAAAATAGGAAGGGTCCTATTATCACCAAATTCTTCAGTGAAAGGACCACGAGAAGTGTTACGTACCACAGGCTGATCAGCCTGCATCGACACCGCCCCTGGCAGCCACCAGGTCAAAAGCCTTCAAATGGACCTACAAATGTTTGGAATAAACTTCACATGTGGAAAACAGGAGACCAGGAATTTCAGTGCAGTCTAGGTTTTAGGTACTAACTTTATCAGGACATGTGTAACTGCCACAAAACACATGAGGGATTTCAGTCTTGGAGACTCACAATCCATTTTCAAGTCTGACTGAAAACAAGTTTTGACCAGCCAGAAATGCAATTTGGCTGTAAATATCATTTTAAAGGATTTCAGAAAAAAATGTATATTATATGGTAAGTTTTTTATGTTATATTGATAAATATGCAACTTGTTCTGCCTTGTCTTTTCTCTCAATTAATTTTCCATGTGAACATCTTTGTTTATTTCAGAGTAGGCTGAATAAAAATCTACCTCTCAGAAACAAAATCTTGATTTCACAAATGCAATGGAATTAAATTTTGGACCCCAACCTACAGGTTTTATTCAAGGAACACTCCTACTGAAGTCACTGGAATCAGCATTTGTATGGCTAACACCTGTATTTAATTTCAGAATAGTGATTTTATATCACTACTTTTTCATATATTTCAGACAACTGTGGAAGTTCATTGTCCCACATGAACATATCACTATGTTGTACTGAGATGGATTAAGGAATTATATAAAAAGAATATATGACATTAATGGAGCAAAATGCCATGACAAAAAAAGTGTACAGTTGCCTAAGTTAGATGTTCAGCTTGATTATTCCCACCAAACCGGGGTTTGGATTTTTTTTCCCTATACTAACAAAGAAGCAAAGAACTACAAACTCACTTTGTTTGATATCAGACAGATAGGAATTGACTGGGTATAATAACCCTATTGGATAAGAACTGAATACATCCCTTGACAAAACAACTTTTATCTGAGAAAAAGCCTGCAAAGTACAGAAGATTGTGATAGTGCATGTTAAATTCGTACTTAACAGGTGTTTTCTATTGACATTACAGATATTTAACCTGGTATTCATCTAATCTTAATTAGACTTCTTCCTGACTCCCAGCATCAGAAAACCAAACGGGGAGGGCAGGGAGCCAGGAGGGAAAAGGGTTGAATACTTACTTATATTGCCAAAATGTCATGCAACATATCATAAAACTATCAGCAGGCTGGTGCTAATTGCCACTGAATTCAATTAATCTGTGACAATTCCACACCAGATGAAACTCTGGCTAGTAAGTAAAAGAATATACGCATTTGTCAGTAACAACTTTTTACCTTGCTTCAGCTTCGTTCACATTTACAAGTTTTATTTAGGTGATAAACCTCTGTTTATTCCACCTGCCGGATGAAAACAGGAGCTGGCCAAGCAGCACGTGTTCATGCTCACATTAGATGTTAACTGCACTTGCTGGAGTGGCCTTTACAGTAGCAAGCACCCTTCCCTGCGGGGCGACCTGTTGATACCAGTGCACCTCACCGACATTTCTCCGCTTTCGTCAGAAACGCATCACCGTCTGCGCGATGGCTACTACTGCCCGCACGAGCTGCGCGCAGCTGGAGGGTTTGGGGAGAGCATGGCTAGGTGCCCTTGGGCAAAAACCCACTGGGAAGGCCTGCGGCGGAGCGGTGGCCTCGCGCCGCGCTTGCTGGACGGGGCCTGGTGTGGGTGCAGCACCCCCACGGAGCTGCCTAATTCTCGGGGGGGCGCAGAGAGGGGTGGGATGGGCAAAGCGAAGCGTTTTCAACCGTGCACTTACTGTAGCTGTAGTTCTTGGCCAGGTAGGTCGACAGCGTAGGCTTTGTCTTTTTGCACCTGCATCGCTCTTCGAAGGGAGAGAAGGGGAAACGGTTGAGGGGAGTCGGAGGGGGCCTGCCTCCGGGGAGGGGGAGGTGGGGGGCCGCCCGGGGCTCACCCTGGCCGCGGCTCCTGCAGTCGGGCTCTGGGGGTCTCTCCGGCACCAGCACGCCCTGCGTGAAGTCCGTCCACTTCACATCTGCAAACAGAGGCGCGGCGGGGAAGGAAAGCTGTCGGGGAGAGG